CCGTTACCGGGGCAACCGGAGGGTAAACGGGAAAACAGCGCGAGGGCCGCTGGGCTGACGTCAAGGCGGGGGAGGGGGCGGTCACGTGGCCCCGCGAAGGCGCGCGCGCCCCCCGCCGGGGATGATGGGCACAAAAGGGAGGGGAGGGGCGGGACCGGGACCGGGACCGGGACCGGGAACCGGGAACTGACAGCGGGCAATGGGAACGGGGCACCAGGCACCGGGGCTGGGCACCGGGACCTGACACCGGGCAATGGGAACGGGGCACCGGGCACCGACACCGGGCAATGGGGCACCGGGACCTGACACCGGGCAATGGGAACGGGGCACCAGGCACCGGAGCTGGGCACCGGGACCTGACACTGGGGAAAGGGGCACCGGGATCTGACATCGGGCAATGGGAACGGGGCACCGGGCACCGACACCGGGCAATGGGGCACCGGGACCTGACACCGGGCAATGGGAACGGGGCACCAGGCACCGGAGCTGGGCACCGGGACCTGACACTGGGGAAAGGGGCACCGGGATCTGACATCGGGCAATGGGAACGGGGCACCGGCCACCGACACCGGGCAAAGGGGCACCGGGACCTGACACCGGGCAATGGGAACGGGGCACCGGGCACGGGGGCTGTGCACCGGGACCTGACACCGGGCAATGGGAACAGGGCACCGGGCACCGCCACCGGGCAAAGCGGCACCGGGGCTGGGCACCGGGACCTGACACCGGGCAATGGGAACAGGGCACCGGGCACCGACACCGGGCAAAGGGGCACCGGGATCTGACACCGAGCAATGGGAACGGGGCACCGGGCACCGGGGCTCGGCACCGGGACCTGACACCGGGCAAAGGGGCACCGGGATCTGTCACCGGGCAATGGGAATGGGGCACCGGGCACCAACACCAGGCAAAGGGGCACCGGGACCTGACACCGGGCAATGGGCACCCACCGGTGAAAGGCACCGGAGGTCAATGATCCAAACACACCGGGAGCAGCCAGCCCGTGAGCTGTGCGTGCCGGCTCCCCCCCCACCCCGTCCCACCGGCACTACCGTCGCTGTGCCCCGGTGACAGCGGTGCCACCGCACGGTTCACCACGGGGGGAAGGGGGGGGGGGGGCTCCCGCCGCGGCGGTTCCCTGATGCCGCGGCACAAGGGACCCCTGCGGCCCCCCCCTCGGTACCGGCGGTGCGGAAGGGGTTAAGCGGCGGGGCCGCCGCACGTCACGGCCGGCCAGGCCCGCGGGCGGCTGAGGGGGCGGATCGGCGTCAGCGGCTGACGTCAGGGCCGATGGCCGCCGATAACCCCCCCCCTCCCGGCACCGGCAGGATGCGGCCCCCGCCGGAGGGGTCGCGGGGGGACCCGGTGCCGAGGGGAGGTGATGGTGGCGGATGAGGGCACGGCTCAGGCCACAGGGGACACCGGTGACAACCAGGACAAGGCTGGGCCCCCCCCCGCAGCCGATGGAACCCCAACCAAAGCCTTGATTAAAGCCCAAATCAGCGCCTTTCCCTCGGGCTGTCCCAGCCCCGGTGCCGGTGCCCCGGGGGGGGTTGGGCCCGGGCTCCCTGTCCCTGTTTCCGCTGCAAGCCCATCATTAGGGAGCGGTGCGGCCGGACCGGCAGGTTCTGGCGTCCCGTCCGGGCACAGCGATGGATGGGGACCGGGGGAGCAGCTCCTCCTGCCCCAGGGCATCCGTCCCCATCCGGTGCGGATGCACCCGTGGACAGGGCTGCCTGCACCCCATGGGGATCCATGGATGTGCTCCTGCCTGCACCCCCATCGCAATGGGGCTGCAGCTGGATGAAATGAGAACCAGCTTCAGCTGAAGGTGCTTTAATCAGTTGCAGGAGGAACGAACCGGCCCCAGGGCCTCCCTGGAAGAGCGGCTGGCCCGTGGCCACGGATGCGAGCCATGAGCCACGATCCACGAGCCATGATCCGTGCTCCGGCTGGGCCCAGCCACCAGCACCCACCAGCAAAACCCCACCTCTGCCAGGGTCACAGCACCCTGTCCTCATCCTGCCGCATCCCCCCTGTCGCCACTGGTGCTCATCCCACGTGTCCCTTGTCCCCAAACCGGAGTCACCACCGGTGGTGGCAGCTCGATGCCCGCAGCGAGGCGGCAGCTTCATTTTCTTAATGAGCATTTAATGAGGGCCGTGATTCAGCCCCTTCTGCCCCCCGGGAGGACACAGGCGTGGGGAGCAGGAGCGGGGCGGTCGCTGCCCATGGGGCTGGTGGCAGTGCCACTGTCACCTCGGCTCGGGGACGGAGCTGCTATTCCCGGCGGCGCCGGGCACCCCCTGAGTCACGCTGCGCTTCCCACCTGCCAGCCGGGATATATTTACCCTGGAGCAGGCGGTGAGGGTTTGGGATGAGCCCGTGTCACCGCTGCCACCACCGGACCTCAGCCACGCAACACCAGGGCCACGGGCACCAGAGCATCCTTGCGGCAGGACCCCGCGCAGCTCCCGCTCTTCCCATGGGACCATCCCCAGCTCCTTGATGCTGGTGGTGCCTGATCCTGCTTCAGCCAGACAAGGTGTCACAGCACTGCTGGACACCCACAGCCTCAACGCGAGATGCCCACACGCCACCATGGGTGCACCCGCATTGCCCTGCTCCTGCATAAAGGGAACAAGGGAGAGCGGTCGCTGTCCCGGGATGCGCTCCGTGGGCTCGGGGCTCACAGGGGAAGCTGCCTCTTAGTCACTGCCGCAGGGGGAGAGAGAGGAACAGAGCAGGGAATACAAGGAGTCAGCGGCCACCAGTGCCCGCCCCCAAAAGCCAACCCCACACTGGTCCCAAGGGGCTGCAATGGCCCCGGGGGCCTCAGACAGTGAACCCAGGCACGAAAAAACATCATCGTTATAAAAAAAAAACCATAAAGAAAGGAGGAAAACACGAGGGGGAGGGGGAGGAGGAGGAGGAGGCTTTGACGTGTATTTTTAGTTGCTTAGCGCAGCCTTCAAGTATTTGGGCAGCCACTCCCTCCGCGTCACACGCGGCTGCTGGGGAACTATTCCTGTGCTGAGGCACCGGAGCCATGAGTCACGGAGCCACCGGCACGGCCACGGTGGCACCGGGAACAGAGACAGGGCCATGCTGGTCCCCATGGGTCCTAACCAGCCGGGTCCTGCCGGGCTGAACCCCCCCCCCTCCCCCCCAGCCCTTCCTCCTCCTCCCTGGTTGTGGCTCTCATCTCGCTCCTCCCTGGTTTGTTCTTGGCTTGCTGTGGTTTTCCAGCAAACAGCAGCCCCAACCACTCCGTTTTGGGGCAGAAAGCCCTAAAAGCACAGGCAACGGGGGCAGCGCTGCCCATGCTCAATGCTGCTCAGACAGAGCCATCATCCCCCCCATCCCGCTGCTGCACAAGGAAGATCGTCCCCCGCTGGCCTTCCAGGGGTGGAAAAAGGAAGGGGGAGGCTTTAGGAAAGGCTGCAGGAGCCTGGGCTTGTCATTAAACAACAGCAGAACCTCAGCAGCTCCCAGGCCCGAGCCCAGAGCTCCAAGCAGGAGATAAGGAAGACTTGGAGGACTCTGCCCTGTTCCCAAGCCAAAGGCCCCATTGTTGCAGGGCTTTATCCAGCCAGCACTGCCGCTGCCGCTTCCTCATGCACCAGGAACACGGGGAGGTTCTGTGGCTGGAGGGACTCGAAAGGGAGGGAGCAGGTTGGGAAGGGAAAGTCTGACACAGGGCTCGGGCCGGGCTTTGTTCAAATGCCACCCGGGCGTTGATGGTGAGTTTCCAGCAGGGAGGAGGACACGTGTGCCCCATTCCCAACGCCTGGAAGCGGCTCCATGCAAGCCCATCTGCTTGGGGGGTTGCTGCTTACAGCAAGGGTTGATGTGAGGCTGGGGTCCAGGGGGGCTCAGCACCAGTACAGACAGAGAGGGAACCGCTTGGCAGAGGTTGGTTTATTCCTGCTCACCACGGAGTTCTAGAAACAGTAAAAAAATAAGTCTATAAAAGCATGTTCCTCCTCGGAGCAGTGGCAGAGAACAGGCTCCAATGGGGGGGGGAATCAGGTGTGCACCCCCCCAAAACAACAGAAACCACCCCAAAACCTCTTCAGAGCGAGTCACAAGATCAGCTTTCCCCCTAAAATTAAGCTTTTTCACCCATTCACGGGGCAGAGGCAAGGCCAGAGCCTCTTTCTTCCCCACATTCCATTCCCGTCAGCCAGGATGTTTTGTGGGTGCGTTTTCCTCATGGGACCCTGTGGCCCCGTGGGCTGCAAGACGGGAATACCCTGAGCTGGGAATTCCCAGGAGCTTCCCAAACCTGTGGCTGGGACACGCTCACAGCCTGGCCTGTGTCCCCAGGGACTGGAAAAGGAGGAGAAGAGGAGGTGGAGGGAAGGGAATCATCAGGTGTTGGGAATGAGCTGGAGAAATCTCAGCACTCAGGACTTTGTGTCACCGAGTTTGCAAAGTGTGTGGGGGGAATAAGGGAAATAACAGAGTTGGGGACACAAACATCCCAGAAAAGCCTTTTCCATCCAAGGGAACTTCCCTCTGAAGTCAACTCAGCCACACACTCACTGGGAGATGCTCGTTTATCACCAAGTTCTCTTGGGAACAACCCCTGAAGGCCAAAGGAACGTTTGTCCCGAATCCTGCCTTAAGCCATAGGAGGGAGACAGAAGGGACTGGCCAGGAAGAGAAGCAATCAAGAGCTTCCAGGTTGGCTGTTTCTAAACCACCCCAAACCCTTAAGACTACTCACAGAAAGATACAAGGTCCTGGAGTTGGGTGTTTTCAACCCAAAGCACTCCCATCTGGTACAAATGCAACGAGTCTCAAGTATAAAAAGAAAGATTCCAGACCATCCAGAAGGCGTTTGTTTGCCTTTGATCTGGTACCATGGAACAGGATCATCCTTCCAATGAAACTGGGGAGCCTGGAAAACTAAAGTATTTTCACTCCTAGGAGCAGCAGAACCAAAGCTCCTGAAGCAGGGATGGGGCAGTTTAAGTAAATCCAATGATTTGCCTACTACAAGGAGCAAATAACTCCACTTTTTACCACATGAAATTGCGAGAGGGGCTTCCAAAGGACATGATTTGGGCCTGGCTCGATGGGTGGAAGAGGAGGAAGGGGACACTTTTGAACACATGGCAATCCTGAGGTGGAAACCCCATGGGCATCGCAGCCCCAGCCCCAGCCCCGGCCAAGCTCACTGCTTTGCTGCTTGTCTGCCTGGCTTTTTCTCCTGCTGGCCTCTTCCGGTGCCTGGGATCCCTCGGCCACGGCCACCAAAGACACCTATGGGGCAGAAAGAAAGAGCAGGGGGTAAGAGCATCACTGCAACGTCTCCCAGCTGCCCGGAGCTGTAGTTATCCATGTGCTCCCCTCTTTTTCCAGCCTTAGAAACAGGACTTTTACATCTCTCCCTTCTCTGTTCCAGAGCCTGGATTTATAAGGTGCATCAATGGATTCCCCCTCCTCAGCTGTACCTCCCTGGTCTGTTCCCTGCCCTAGAGCCGTGCCCTCACCCTCTGTTGAATCTACTCCTGAGAAATGGATCCATGGAAGCAGCAGTGTTTTAAGAGCAGTGGGATGAGCAGGTTCTATGTGTGTCCCCTGCAAGCTGAAACAAGGAAGGGGGGCACTTGGTTTGGCTGCAGGAGCTGCCCTGGGACCCACCGCTGGGCCCCCCCTCCCTGCAGAGTCACCCCAGCCCCACAGCAATGCCAGGCTCTGACGCTGATCTCGGTGCTCGAGGGGCTCTGGATCCACCCAAGCCCACGAGGCAGAGCCCAGAGGACACCCAGGGCAGGCACAAGGGCTTCTCCAGAGCCCTCTGCTCACTCCATGGAGGGGACATGCCTCAACCAGAGGCAGAGGATGACTCCTAACCCTGCAGTGCTGGGGATGCTCCCAGTGAGGCTGAGCTAAGGCTGCCCCACTCCTGGCTTTGGCAAGCTGAGAAGTAAAAGCCAGAAGGATTCCCAGTGTCAGGAACAATAATCCTTTCAAGCGCGTGCTCAATTGCAGCTTCCCTCCTGCCTGCTGGCCTCCCAACCAACGCGTCCTGCCTTTCTTTTTCCCCCTTCCTCTCCTCATGTCTCACTAATGGGAGCCAAAGCTTGGAGCTAATTAGCAAATACCAAAGCTTCCCTTTAACATATTCCATCAGCACATTGAGGTTGCACATCAGAGCAGCAGGGAGCTCCACCTCCGACGGAGCCAGGGCTCTGCTCCGCTCTCCCAAGGTGGGTATTTCCACAGCAGAGAAAACAGAGCAGGCAAACTGTTTGTCCAAGTAACCACATCCAAAAAAGCTGCTCTGCCAAAGGGAGAAAGGGAAGGAGGGGGAAAGAAAGGCGCCTTCAGCTTTGTAAAGGTCACTTCTATGTGTTGGGAACTGCCAGGATGTCCCAGGGCAGCACAAGGCTCCAGGGTTTTCCCCTCCCCAAGGTCCTTGGATGGCCCCAGGTAGTGCCCAGCTTCCCACTGGGATTCCTTGCAGAGGTGGCTTCTGAAGGGTGCTCTGCAGAGACCTCAATCATGGCTCAGGCCTTAAGGCTCCTTCCAAACCCCAGCATCTCCCAAGCGGTGTTGGAGCAAGGGAGCACACTCAGGATCTGAAGCTCCTACTGCAGGCTAAGCCTGGCCCAAGAGTGACCCCAGGGCTGAGCGACGTGACCACAAAGCGAATGGCAAGGATGCGGCAGGAGGGGCGAGCAGGCAAGGAGAGGAACAGCTCTCAGGCTTCCAGCAGGGCCATTTGGGGAGGAAAGAACAACCCATCCCCGAGGTGAAGCGCCCCGAGCTCAGCTCAGCCCAGGAAGTGGCACAGGGAAGGAAGAGTTTGCTTTTGTGACCTATTTCTTCCCAAGCAGCGACCTCCCCTTTGATCAGAAGCACGAGTTCTTCACTCGGAGCAGCAGAAGCACAGCCCCTGGGATAGACAATAAATCAACCAACAAGGCAGGAGATCCAAAGCGCCATTCCGATGGAAGCTGATGGGTTTTTATCAGTGCCACGGTTAGAGCTCAGTCTGTTTCCAAACAGAGCAGCCATTTGTTCCCCTCCCTGCCTCTCTAAGCTAAGAGAGACCAGGTTCATCAAGCCACGCTCCCAAACCAGCCAGGAGGGGTAGGAAGAGTCAAGTTCAGACTCTCTTAAGCTCCTGCCCAACCCCAGGAACGAGGGAGGCACATCCCTGGCACGAATCCTTCCCTGAAGCTGCCTCACAAGCGAGGCAACACACATGAACTGGACCAGATCCTGCACTGGAGCGGCTCCAGCTTCTCCCAGCCACGCAGCTGGGGTTCAAGCTGGGAAGCAGGAGCCGTTCCTTGCCCTGAAAACCAAAGAGGAGCATTACCTCGTCCAGCACCTCCAACGCCACGGCCCTTCTGTTGCTTCTGCTGTTGCATCCCACCACGGCCTCTGCCCTTGGACACCACCTCCTCTTTCACCATGTCAATGATCTCATCGGGGATCCGCAGGTATTTAATGGTGCTGCCACGAATGTAGCACTCTGGCATCCTCCAGAACTTGTCTCCATCCTATTGGGGAGCAACACACTCGGTTACAAACAAAACTTGGGGCTTGGCTATCTACTTCTGGGGCATTTTTGAGGGTTTCCATCACATCTGGAGTGTGTGAGAGCTCCAGAGACCTTTTTGGGGAGCACTATCTGAAAGCAGGAGCACAAAAGGGTGGGTTTTTCCCTCCAGAACACGGAGCCCTGCAGGCTGGGGAGGGCACTGAGCCACGAGCGACTGCACTTTCAATTCACTGCCTCTGACACTTGCTGCAAGCGGAAGAAGAGGAGGCTGAGGAAACAAGCACCTTCCCTTCTAAGAAAGGGAATCAAAAGTGGGGCTGGAGAGGCCAACGTGGGGAGCTCCAAAAGCTCGGGTAGGAGAAACCAGAGCTGCAGCAAAGGCACGGCTGGGTTTGTCCTCCAGCAGCCCCAGCTGGGAGTCGCCTCCCTGCTGCGCTCCTCTGGGTGTGGATGGAGCAGGGAGGCAGCTCCGGAGCTGTGGGCTCTGCACCACCAGAGCAGCTGTGGAAAGAAGGAGCTGGTGGGTTCTTGATAGAGAAAAGAAAGTCTCCAGGTGCCCCATTATGGAGCCGGGATCTCCACACAGGGTTTGTGGGTTGGGCACCAGCTCCAGGGCTTTCCTAGGACACAACCCAGGAGGGTTTCAGCTCCCGCATCCCGGGAGCGGCTCTGGGAATAGGAACGGAGCTGAACAACAACTCGGCTGCCCATGATGTCAGTGGGAGGAGGGACAGGGACCCGCCTCGTCCCGCAGCTCCAGCAGGGGCTGGCTGCAGATGGGATGGCTCCAGCCCAGCCTCAAGCAGCAGCATGTGGAAGAGGCATCTGCGGTGTCTCCGAGGAGCAGCAGCAGGAACGCCTCGTTCCTGCTCTCCTGGGATGAAACGGTTCCACGCACACACCCCAGGAGTTATTTGGGGCGCCTCAGCCTGCCCGGGCAAGTCCTTTGCACACAAGACAAGGCAGAAGCAGCTCCCTTCCAAGAGACACCCGCCAGACCCCGCCCTGCCTCGGGCCCGCCCGGCTGCTCCTTGGCTCGGGGTAAGGGAAGGGACGGAGGAGGCTCCTCCGCTTCCTCGTTCCGGCCTCCCCGCAGTAAACAAGCGCCTCCCGGCCGGGGCCGGGGCTCGCCCGCCGCTCCGTGCCATCTAGCGGCCAATCCCCACCAGTGCCACCAGTACCAGCCCCGGAGCGGCTCCAGCTCCCGCTTCCACCCGGCCTTTGGAGGCGTTCGGGTATCTCAAGGCTGGCAGGGGCTGCCAGGATGCCTGGAGATCCCTGCGGCACCCACGGCGCGGGCACAGGGAAGGGTTTGCTCCCGTTTTCCATCTCTTAGCCCCAAAGGTTCCTCTCAAACCTTGCTCAAGGGGTGGTTCACTGCATCAAACACGCCTCTGTGCCCCAGCACTGTCATAGAAGCATGGAATGGTTTGGGTTGGAAGGGACCTTAAAGCTCCTCCAGCTCCAACCCCTGCCATGGGCAGAGACCCCTTCCACTGGAGCAGCTTGCTCCAAGCCCCTGTGTCCAACCTGGCCTTGAACACTGCCAGGGATGGGGCAGCCACAGCTTCTCTGGGCACCCTGTGCCAGCACCTCAGCACCCTCACAGGGAAGAGCTTCTGCCTTAGATCTAACCTGAACTTCCCATTTCAGTCTGAAGCCATCACCCCTTGTCCTATCACTACAGTCCCTAATGAAGAATCCCTCCCCAGCATCCTTGCAGCCCCCTTCAGACACTGGAAGCTGCTCTGAGGGCTCCATGCAGCTTCTCTTCTCCAGGCTCACAACATCAGCTCCTGGGGATTTGCAGAGAGGTTTTCAGGAGCACGAGGAGCTCTGCCAGGCTCTCGCATCCACCCAGCTGCTGCTCCTCTCAGCAGACACCTGGCAGGGACAAGACCAGACACTTCTGGCTGAGGTCAAAGCCCAAAACACTGATCACAATCTTCGGGAGCAACTGTGGCCAAGGGCAAAAGTACCAGACAGTGCAGAGCGGAGAAACAACAGCCTCCTCTGTTGGGGAGAGTTAAGAGGAGCAAGTACATCAATCAAGCACAGGGCTTGAAGCCGACTTTGCTTCTCAAACAGCACGTGATGGAAGAGGCTCCATCCTTGGACCCATCTCAGCACGGGGCCTCCAGCCCTACGCTGAGAACCCTCTCACAGGGGGAAAGCTCTAGGGGAAGGTGTCCCTGCCCGTGGCAGTGGGTTGGAACTGGGGGAGCTTTAAGGTCCCTTCCAACCCAAACCAGGCTGGGATTCGATAGCTCTAGGAGAGGCTCACAGAGCATTTGTGTGCCGTGGACAGCGCTGCCCTGCAGGAGCACATCGGCCTTTGCTATGGATGCTATAAACCACCCACGGTAAACACGGCTTTCAGGCGGAGGCCCCGCGGGGCCGCTCGGGGGCCGGGCCTTACCCGGGACGTGCAGATGACCTCCCGCAGGTTGATGTTCATCCAGTTGTCGCAGCTCACCAGGTGCCCGTTGTACGTCTCCCCGTTCTTCAGCTCCACCAGCTGCGGGACACACGGGTCACGGCGCAGCCCCAGCACACGGACCGGTACCGGTGCCGCTGGGGCCAGGAAGGGGAGCGGGCCCGGGGCTGGGCCGCGCTGCCGGTACTCACCATGGGGTGGTTCTGCGCCGTCTTCAACAGGGACAGGGGCAGCTGCGGGGGGAAGAGAGAGGCCTCAGGTACCTGAGGGGCCCGGGGCAGGGCATGGCCGCAGACTGAGCCGGGCCCTCCCACCCCACGGTCCCGGCCCCGCCACCACTCACCATCGTGCCGGAGCCACCGCCGCGCCGGTCGCTGCCGCTCAAACCGCCCCCGGCCCCTCGCGGGGCCAATCAGAGCGCGGCGCTGCCCTGGCGAAGCCAATCAGAGCACGGCGCGCTCACAGCAGAGCCAATCAGAGCACCCACGGCATACGGCCGCAAAGCAACACCACGACCGTTCCGGTCCGCGCCTTTACGACAGCGCCGTAAATAGAAAGAGGGGGTGGCGGGCGGGAGGGAAGCGGTGGCGCGCCCGTTTCCCGTTACCCGCGGATCCCGGTTCGTGCCTTTTCCACCCCCCACCTTGGGTCGAGCCGGAGCTTCTTAGAGCCCCCCCCGGAGGGCACCGCTCAGCGGTGAAGAAGCTCCGGGCCCAGCCCCGGCGCGTCTCCCCGAGCGACTTCCGCGCTGGCGGCGGAAGTGGTGCGTATGGGCCGCTCTAGGCAGCTTGGCGGACCGCACTCTATGGTAGTGGTGGCGGCGGCGGGGCGGAGCGCGCTCGGTGGTGGCGGGGCGGGGCGGGGCGGGGCCGGGAGCTCAGTGCGGGGCGGCGGCGGCGGCGGGACGGGACCGGAGCGCGATGGAGAAGCCGCGGCGGGCGGTGGTGGTGACCGGTACGGGGGGAGCGGGCCGGGCACGGGGGTCCTGGCGGGGGGGCAGCCCCATGGCGGGGGGGTGTGGGGTGAGGAACGGGGCTGTGGGGGAGCTGTGGTTGGGTTCGGTGAGGGGCGCGCAGCCGCTGCCCCGGTGCTCAACCATTGAGGGGGGGGTTCGGGACCCCCCGTTTCCCGTCCCTGACCCTCCCCAGGGGTGCGTGGTTGGGGGAAGGAGGGGATTGAGGCTGCGGAGGAGTGGGGAGAAGCGGCGGGGATGCGGGAGGGGGCTTGTGCGCTCCGGCCACCCCATCCTGAGCCATGGGCGAGTGGGAGCCGGGACCGCGCTCAGCCCCCGGGGCCCGGGGGAAGGATGAGCAGGGGAACGCGAGGGGACGGGAGGCCCCAGCGTCGCAGGCGGGAGCTTGTCAGGCTCCTTTCCCCGGGGTACAAAGGGCGGCGGGTTGATTTGTGGGGCAGGCAGTGCTGTGACAAATGGGGATCGGGGAGGGGGGAACTATTGAGGGCTGGGGTTTGAATGGGCGAGAGGGGCTCGCTGCCATCGCGGGTTGCGCTGGAGGCTGAGCGGCTTTGCAAGGGAGCGCTTGGAGAGGGAAGGAGCAGGTGGCAGATCCCGGCTTTGGGAAAGCCGGGATCGCTGCGGAGCCGTGACTAAACAGAAACCCGGCGTCAGTGAATCAGTCCCCTCCTGCGTGCGGTGCTTCCCCTGCCTCCTGCCCCGCTGTGTGCGGGGAAGCCTGTTCCTATAGCGCAGCGCTGCTCCTCGGGTCTGCCCCTGGGGGATCATCTCCTGGTGCTGTCACACTGGGCTCCCGTCAGCTGCAGCGGGGAGGATCGGTGCTGGTCGCGCACGGGGTCTGGTTTAGGAGTGGGGAAGGAGCTCATCCCATCGGCATCCCTGCCGCTGCCGTCCTGAGCCTTGGAGGGCCCTATTGTGGATGTGGAGGAAGTCCTGGGCATGCTCGCTGGAGTTCCCTGCTGCTCACAAAGTTGCTTATACCGGGAGGATCCAGGCAGGAGATGAGGCAGAGGAGCAGTAGCCCACGGTGGTGTTGGTGCCCGTTCACTTTGGAGCAGGAGGGCTCCGTTCTGTGTACGGGCACCTGTAGGATTCCAGCCTTCCCGTGGCTGGATTGTTAGGAGGAGCTGGATGTGTTTGGATTCCATTGGGTTCAGGCTCTCATGGTTTCTTTAGCAAGGAGCCTTTGCAGGTCCTGCTTGTGCCTGGACATCACTGACTTGCAGAACCACCCGAGAAGGGGTTCAGTGCTTGGACTTGTTCACCTCTGCTGCAGTCGTAGCTTGTCTTGGGAACACTGGAGGTTTGCTCCCAGGAAAACCCCGACGTTTGGATCTTGTGGAAACCTTCAGCACGTTCCTTTTGGGCAGATATCGACATGGGTTTGACTGTAAGAGCCCCATGAGTGTGGATGAGCCTACCCCGTGCAAACCCTGCGTGCGGCGTAACCTCAGCCCTGCCATTGAGAGCAAATAGAACGTTTCCATTAATGTGTCACATAATATTTGTGGTCCCTCTCAAAGCCTTTCAGGAGTTAGGCACAATTTATGTCTCTTAATGGCAGGAGGCTCCCAGGGAAGCTCTGACAGTTCAGATTAAAGCGTATCGACGTTGTGCCCAGATGAATTGCCCAACCTTTGTGTGCTTGCTCAGGAGGAGATGTTGGGGGTTACTGGTTAACTCTGAGTTGCTCATTAGGAAATCAAGATGTGGCGAGTAAATGGCATTGATAACGTTATCATAACCTTTCCTGCTTGCTGGAGGTGAGTGTCCAGAGAGCCCGTTTCCTCCTAAGGCAGAACTAATGCTGGCAGAGATCATGGTGAAGATCTGAATAACTCTTTGAACCAGGCTTGTCTCCATTTGTGGAAGCATTTGCTGTGGCCTAAACCAATCAGGAATAGGAAATCCAATCAGGATTCTAATTCTGTGACATCAGGGAACTTCTCTGTTTGGACCAAGTTCTTCCAAGCTGGTCAAGGAAGGGGAAAATCCACTTGCCCCAGTGTCTGCTAGGGAAAAAGGAGTTTCTTTTGAGGCAAGCTCAGAGTACAAGGTGTACGGTTCAGTCATGGCTGTGGAGGTCTCTTAGTGCTTGGATGGAAGGTAAATAAGGCTCGGGCATTAGAAGTGGGCTTTCTTTCAGGCTCTCTATACCAGGAAAGCACAGAACCATTTTGCACCTTTCACTTGAGTCAAACCTGTTGGGATGACTTCACCACTGTGGCTTTTTCCTTCTCTTGCAGGGTTTGGTCCGTTTGGAGAGCACGCTGTTAACGCCAGTTGGATTGCAGTTCAGGTAACCCTCCACATACCTCTGTTCGTGGCAAGTTAAAGCAGAGAGCCCTGCTGATAACATCCCCCTTCTGGCTCTGGTGTGTGGCTCCTTTGGAACTTGTCTTCCCACTTTGTTACCTGCGAGCAGCTCGCTCCAGATGGTCAGGTGGTGTTTTATTCACTACTCCAAAAGCAATCCCTGAGCTAGTAGAACGTAATGGGATAGAGTTAGTGTAGCTCAGGCAAGGAAGGAATCTGTAGGCTAAGCCCCGGGGTTTGGAAGCTGTTAAACAGGGCAGGGAGCTGGGCTCTTCCTCTGCCCTGAATAAACAACCCCAGGAGAACTGCTGTGCTTGCCTCTCAGCTGGAATGGGGGAGCTGGTTAACCTTTAAGCCAAGCCTCATCTGCAATGAGACTTCCCCCTTGTAGCCTGTGGAGTCAAGTAAACTGCAGAGTCAAGTCCACCGTGGGTCTGAGGACTCTGACCTGCCCTTGGCTTATTCCCCTCTGTTCCTTCTGCTTTTGGTGCTGGGCTGCAGCAGGCAAAGCAGGAGGCATGGGGTGGTGGGGACCAGGTGGTGTTTGTCCCTCCGGATCCAGCCTCCTCTCTGCTGAGGAGCAGCACGGGATGCTCCATCAGTTTATGCCACTTGTAGCTGCACATCTGCAGGAGCACGTTCATCCTGCACCCCAGCAGAGGCGAGGAGCAGAGCCAGACTCCTGCCAGAGGCCCAGCTGAATGAAGGAGTTAAGGTCACTTGCTGTAAAAGCATTACCTAGGGCCAGTGCTGCCACATTATCCCCTTCTTCCTTATTTGTCACTTCTGGCTGCGGTTTATGACAAAGCTGCTGGGAATTCAAGGGTACCTTTTAGTACAGTTGTCCAGGGAATTAGATCTATTTTTCTCCCCAGCACATCTCTCTTCCCTTCAGAGCTCAGAGATTAATATCTTCTTTAGAATGCTTTTAAATTAAATCACAAACTCTAATCAATTACAGTCAACTAACGTCCAGATGTCTAATGGGGTGGCTGGTACAAGAAGAAACCTTTGCCTCCCAGAGCCTTTTGGAAATGAATATATCCGAGTTAGGGTTTGCTTGGTTTAAGTTTGGGGGGGAAATGCAAGTATATGGGGGGAAAAAATGGCCTGGTACTGAAATTGAGCAGCGAGGCAACTGGATTTGGTCTGTTCTTACTCGTGTGAACCAGCTACTTTTATTCTAGGCGGGATAGACAAAAGGGTGTTGTGCTTGTGGAGCAGGAAGAGTGGTGGCTGCTGTGATGGCGCTTGCAAACACACACCTAATGTTTAATGTCACTCCTCCAGCACGGCAGCTCGAGGCACTGGTGGCTGCTCAGCTGAGGGCTGAAGGCACCACGTGCCTTTCCCATTCATTTTTAGGGGCTTGGGGGTGTTTGGAGAGTCTCAAACCGGAGTTGGAGCCTGTGCTTTGTGCTGCCTTGGAGCCCGTCTCCCTCCCGAGTCCTGAGCTCCTCACTAAAGCCCAGCCTTCAGGCAGCAGCGGGGAGGATTTTGCCTTCCCTCACCCTGCTCAGCCCCGAGAGGCCCAGACAAAAAGGAACAGCATGGCTTTGAGCGCAGGCGAGTTGGGCATTGTGCGGGTTTCAGACGGGGGACTTCATGGAGCTGAGGGGACACAAAGGCGCGTCTGCGCGCCGGAGCCCCAGACGCTGTGATCTGCATCTTAATAGAAGAAAAATCAATTAAACAATCTTGCTAAATCCTCCCTTGCTCCGGGGCTGAGCTCCTTCGGCTTTATTACAGCTTTTATTAGCCCGCATCCCGAGGAAGCCAATTCCCTGCTTCTCTCTCCGCTCCTCTTCGGTGTTATTTGGCACGGACGCGGGGTGTCTGTTCCTGCCGACTGCAGCGGGCTTCCAGGAGAGCTGCTTGCCTTTGAAAGCAAAGGGAGTTTCACACATGGGTACCTTCGATGGCAGCCCTTGCAGTGTAATAATGGGGAGGTGTTCGGAGATTTGGGCGCCTCAGGGAGAGATCCTCTATAAATTCAGCGGGAATAACAACATCTTTCTGCTCTGTTTTTCCCTGTTAATGTGGATTTTCTGTCCCATGATTTCCTTTGGAGGAATTTCCTCCGCGGCAGTTTTTGCTTGGGAAGGACCTTCCTTTCAAGAAGTAGTTACTGAAACGAGCTTTTCTGTTCATTTTCCAGCCTCCTGGGTGTAACTTAGGTGTAGACACAGGTGGACTGTGAAGCGAATGGGCTCCTGCCTTCATCCCCCCAAAGTGCTGCTGGCTGAGGAGAAGGAGGAGGAGGAGAGAGGTCAGGCTGTGCTGTGACATTACTAAGGACAATTGCTGTCAGGGTGTCTAGACAGACCTGATAAGGATATTAAAGGCTCACAAAGGCGACCATTGTGGAGGGGTCAGGGAAGCGGGCAGACGCGTTCGGGTTGCTGTGGCTGTCAGGTATACAAGGGAATGAGTTGTCTGGGGGCCAGTGGACATCTTTATTATGGACTGGAAGCAGCCAGTGCTGTGCTTGGTTAAAGGGAAGATGTGGGTTTGTAAAGCTGGGGTTTGGAGCTGTCACTGTGGGGCTGAGCCCAAGGTGTCTCCTTTGTGCTGCCAGGAAAAGTTTCTGCAGTGAAGCTCATGTTAAGGAACTGTTTGATGCTCTTTAGGGCCGTGATGATGGATTCCCCCCTGTTAACACTGGAGATCTTCCTAAAGAGACTGACTTGTATTTGAATGCTCTCATTTGTAAGCTACTTACTTTATTAACGCGCCACATAAACCAGCTGACGTCTTGAAGGCAGATCTGTGCAAAAGACATGTGGTGAAACATCACTTAGCATCCCTCTCTGGTAATGGATGTCTGCATATGCCAGACACTAATCAATACAGCAAGCCTTTAATATCAGCCTTGCCCTCGGAGCCAGCACAAGTGATTTATCACTGCTGTTGCTCATGTCTGCTGGTCTGTGGAAGCCTTCCTCTTGCCTTTGCTGCTTTGGTTGGCTTAAACCTTGCTCCACCGGCCGTGGGCCTTACAAGTGGGATGGGTTTTCTTTACTCAGTAACGAAACCACTCGTGCTGACAACTACAGACAGAAAGGATATTGAAGTGCTGCTCGGGTTTAGATAGGGGAGGTAGGAGCGTAACGGGGAGGTCCAAAACCCTCAGCTTGTCCTCTCCTTTCAACTGGCTTTATTGCAGTGTAAACCTAGGGCAATACGACGTTGGAAGGGGAGTGAGCTTCATTGCATTTAGCTGCGGTGCACTCTTTAGCCTGAGGTTTGCATCATCTCTGTGTGCAGGAAAAGAAAGCCTAAGAACTGCATGAGAGAGCTGCTCTTGGCTCTGCTCCCCGAATCCGCACCTCCAGGAAAGGTAACTTGATCATTCAAGACTATATTGAAGAGGCCTTTGCTAGTTTGCTGCCTTCTCTGCTTGAGATCCATAAGAACAACCACAGGGGTTTGTGGCTGTGGGAGGAGCAGGTTCTGTCCTTGCTGTGCCTGCAGCCCCTTTGATGTAAGCACAAGGAACGGCTCCGTGTTCCCGGCCTGAGGAAGCTGGTGTTTCCAATTGAATGTGTTCAGGAGGAGGAGAGCAGCACCAGACAAGGAGCTTGTGCTGTGGGTGAGCTTCTAGCCTGGTCCCTGGCTCCTCAGGTTGAGCTCAGCCAATGGCTTTGGTGAAGAACCTGTGTTTTTCCAGAGGCTGGATCCTTCCCTTGAGCCCTCGGAAGTTTGGGTTTGATGGCTCCAAAAGGTTGATTTCTGATCAAGTCCTGGTGTGGGCTTGACTGGTAACACCTGAAGTATCAAGGGAGCAAGTCTCAAACTCTTACTGGGGTGTGCTGAGCCTGAGGCCAAAGAAGAACAAGGCAGAAGTATCCAGGACCATGAGGGAAGTCGGTGTTGGGATCAAACGGGGGGGAAAAAAGGCCTTTCCTCTTGCCTCTGGTTTTAAAGGTATTAAACTGACCCTTTGTGTTGTAAAAGGTACAAAGGGAAATGGGCCAAGTTTATTGCCTGGGTAGTTGGGATGTTTTCGAGCCATGGCTTTAGTTAAGGTTATAGGGGGAGAACTAATTCACTGCGTTACTTGAACCACTACGATGGTGACAGCTCATGTTGCAAAATGAAGTCAAATATATCAGGTAAATAGGTAAAAGCAGCAGTGGAAACGGGCTGTCTTGTATTCCAGATCCTGCCAAAAGGAGAGTAAGGAATATGCTGAGGAGGATGTGGCAGTGTTGCTTCCGTTTCTCATAGAGGAGTGTTCCGTGGAGCCTGATAGACACAGAGTCACAGCCTGTGACCTAACTCTGAGAGCTCCTCACCTGGAAGCAAAGAGGAATTTGCTCTCCAGGTCATCAGACAGAGGACAAATTAGACAATGAATGTAATCCTCCCAGTTTGACTTCTTCCTACAGGTACCTAGTTCTTTCAGTAGGTGAATACGAGGAGCCAAACCTTTCTTTGAAGCGTGGCTGTTGCTGATAACCATCATCACTTCAGTGTTGATCTCTTTGTTAAACACACATCAGAGCAAAGCAAACGGTCCTGTGGGTGAAGACTGTTCCTGCAGGTGCAGAGGTGCCTTTGTTGTTTCCCTGTTGTCTTGAGGTTTTTAACCGTGCTGTTTCCGAGGGGATACAGCCCGCAGTGTCAGCTGGTGTTAGTCCTTCACAGCAGGCTCACTGCACCATTAAACCTTCCAGGAGTCTCTGTCCTCTGCTGAGCTTGTGTCTGACCATCTTGGCTTTGTTTCCTGGTGTGTTTAGGAGTTGGAGAAGCTGGGGCTGCGAGATGACGTGGATCTGCACGTCTATGAAGTCCCAGTTGAATACCAGACAGTGCAAAGGCTCATTCCTGCGTTATGGAAAAAGCACAGTCCACAAGTGAGTGAGTAGAGGGAGGAGGAGAAAAGACACAGCAAATGGGTGAGATCTGTCCCACTGACAGCAACAAGCAGAATGGGAACTCCTGTTTCTAACACGTGTTCAGGCTGGTGTCCCTTTGTCGTGAGAACATGTGAATATGTAGGGTTGGAAAGCTCAGAAGAGAGCAGTGCATTAATGGGAGCAGTTGGTGTGAAGGAGCCACTGGAAAGGGCTGTGGAGGCAGCTCGTGTTGGGCTGTGCCACCGGTGGTCAGAGGTGGTCACCTTAACCCTGAGTGAATCCCAGCTTGGGCCAGGAGGGGGTGAAACAAGGAGGATGGCTCTGGATTGGACCCATGAGGTCACTGCTCAGTGACTCATTACCATGATACACATGCAGCAACCCCCAGTCTGTACCCGGGAATAGCGGGCGCTGGGTTTCCCACCGGCTGCGTCGTGGTTGATCTGACCTGGTTCTTTTCTCTTGCAGCTGGTGGTTCACGTGGGTGTTTCGGGTATGGCTACGACCGTGACTCTGGAGAAGTGCGGCCACAACGTGGGTTATAAAGGCTTGGACAACTGCCGCTTCTGCCCAGGCTCTCAGTGCTGCGTGGAAGGAGGCCCCGAGTGCATCGATTCCATTATTGACATGGACACAGTTTGCAAGAGAGTCTCAGCGCTGGGGCTGGACGTCACGGTCACTATATCGAAGGATGCTGGCAGGTATGGATGCCAGTGAGCGTGATAGAGTGGAAAGTTCATCTTCTTCTGCTCTTGCGAGACCTTCTCCTGCAGCCCTGGTGCAGCTCTGGGGCAGCAGCACAAGGGGGACGTGGAACTGAAGGAGCGAGGCCATGAGGAGGCCATGGAGATGCTGTGAGGGCTGGAGCAGCTCTGCTGTGGAGCCAGGCTGAGAGAGCTGGGCTGGGGCAGCCTGGAGAAGAGAAGGCTCCTGAAGGGGAGACCTGAGAACAGCTCCAGTGCCTGAAGGGGCTGCAGGAAACCTGGAGAGGGGCTTGGGACAAGGGCCTGTAGGGACAGGTTAAGGGGAATGGCTTGAACCTGCCCGAGGGGAGACTGAGATGAGCTCTTAGGCAGAAGCTCTTCCCTGGGAGGGTGCTGAGGCGCTGGCACGGGGTGCCCAGAGAAGCTGTGGCTGCCCCATCCCTGGCAGTGTTCAAGGCCAGGTTGGACACAGGGGCTTGGAGCAAGCTGCTCCAGTGGAAGGGGTCCCCATGGCAGGGGTTGGGACTGGATGAGCTTTAAGGTCCCTTCAACCCAAACCATTCCATGACTGTGTCCTGCAGTTTTCTCATTGGATTTGTCACCTGGTGCTAAATAAGCCCTCTCCTTGTGTTTCAGGTACCTCTGTGACTTCACTTACTACACGTCCTTATACCAGAGTCGCGGGAGGTCGGCTTTTGTTCACGTGCCTCCTCTGGGAAAGCCCTATACTGCAGAACAGCTGGGTCGGGCACTACAGGCTATCATAGAAGAGATGCTGGATGTTTTGGAGCATTCTGAAGACAAAATCACTTGTCAGCATGAACACTGAAAGTGGGCAGAAGTTACCCTAGTATTGCACTTCCAAATCCTTCCCTGTTCCTGAAGTAACTGGGGAACCAGCCTGAAGCGTGGGGACCCAAGAACTGGAGACTTCAAAAAGGAAAATCCCACTCCTAGAAATGGACCTTTTCTTTCTTTTTTTTTCTCTGTCAAATGTGTGCATTTCAGCCTAGGCAACAAAGGAGTCAGAATCTCTTCCTGGTAACACCTGCAACCCCTCATATGCGAAGCGACTGAAGTGTGTGTGCTGGGCTTGATGCAGAGCGTCTGGCAGCCGAGTGACAGCTACCAACCAGTGTAACCCAGTGCAGATGGAAGGGTTCTCACCTGGGCTTGGTGGTCAGGTGCAGGGAATTGATAACCCAGTCTTCTAATGACTAGTTTTTAAGTTGAAAGGTTTGCTTTTGTTTTGTTGTGGGGTTTCTCCCCCCCTCTTTGGCCCAAGCGCTAGGTTATGCTATAAAGAGCTGGAATGGTGTGGGATTGTCTGTTGGACAACAGCGCTTGGTGGAGACGAGGAATCTTGGGAATTGCTGAGATGGAAAAATCCTTCAGGCACTGACTTCTTACCCCACATTGTCCAAATCCTCCCAGGGTCCTCTGTCACGTACTGGTTAACCAGTAGCTGCAGATAGAAGGGCCGTGCTTTGGGTTCCTTCTGTGGCGGAGCAGGAGTTGGCTTTGGCTTCGTTTCTTGTACACAAGGATGAGCCTGACTTGGCCAAATACATCCAAATGTCTTTTTTATTCCCTTCTCTATGCCAGTCCTCAGTTTATTCCCTTCCTTACTCAAGTCAACGTATACCTCCTGTGCAAAACACCTTGTGTCATCTGTGTATGAAACAAAGCAGTAGTGGTGAAATAGCTTTGCTAAAGGCCACTTTCTCCACAGGAGACCTTCACCCTCCACTTGGTGCTAGCTGTCCTTTTGAAGGCAGAGGTTGAGTAATTGATAACTTCCTTGGTTATACATTTTCCTCCTTTGAAAGGTTAGAAGAGTAATGTTTAACTTCAATTCAGCGTCCTCGCCTTGAGTTATTAGGGGCATGAATATGCAAGCGTGCTGACTGGGAGACATTCTGCCAAATCCCAGCTAAAATCTGAAGCCTGCTGTCTGTAAACCAGAGGCAATTGGTTGAAAATGAGGAATTCTGCTTCGGATGAGTTTTCCAGGCTGGTTCGTAATGTTTCCCTCCCAGTGGGAGGGTACAGAGTGCTGCTTCTTGCATGAGCTTTCCCAGGAATTCACTGGCAGGTTCTAAGCAGGACTGGTTGATGCAGGTTTGCTGCCAGGTTACACGGCTCCAGTGAAGGATGGATGATGGTGCAGTGGGAACAGGCATCGGTGATTGATGACCCACTGAGGGGCCATTTAAATGAAGAGGTCTGATTTGATCCTAATACTCTTACAAATACATATATGTATACATATATATATCCCCCCCCCCAACATTTGGAATGCCATTATCTTTATTTTCTGATTAGGAGTGATCCTGCTCTAGTATCTCTCAGTGAGAGCTGCCATTAACTTGCTGTTTTCCAGGAGAAGTCTAGCGACAAAGGGAATAGATACCACTTCTTGCCACCCTGCGGAGGGGACCAAGGCTTCTGCAGTTGGAATAACTTGGCTGTTGTGAAGATGTTGGGATAAACTGGGGTTTTTTTTCCAAGGAAATTCCCACTGGATTTACTGTACAGGCTTTTCTGAGCAAAAGGGTTTGCTTTCAAAGTCAAGATTCTCTTTTGCACTCAGATGCGAGGTAGCGCTTGTGGGCTTGTCGGCGGGCAGGCAGGCTTTCTGGTGAGTCATTTATTCTGTTTAATGCTTTGTTGAGATATGGGTGGCTTTGACATGGTTTTTGCCAATAGTTGAGCTCCTTTTCTCTTGTAGGGTTGTCCCTTTCTGTGGTAGGAAGCTTCAGCATCGGGGTATCTTAGCTGCTGAGTGCTTGGAGGAGGAGGAATTCAGGTGTTGGGCTGAGTTCAGCAACTGGTTGAAGGGATTTTTAGGCATGCTGTTTAATTTACCTGTAACGTAGCTGGGAATGAAATGGGAGCGGAAGGGAGCAGTTGAGTGAGGGGAGAAGAGAAAAGCTAAGGAATCAGCCCTTCCCATGGGAAGGTCTGACATCCAGGCAGCCCTCACCTGGAGCAGAAGGGGTTGGAGCAGGTCACTCTGCTGGTGATGGAAGTCTCGAGGTGAGATGTGCCTTGTCTGTCCGTGTCTGTTACACGTTTGTGCTTCCTCGGAGCCTTGGAGATTCCCATCTGGATGTGACTGAGGAGGAGGAGTTCCAGGTGCATCCGTGGGCATGGTAGATAGCAGCGGCTGCGTGGGGAGAGCGGCTTTCCACACTGCTCTGTTCACCCCATGGAGCTGGGGCCTGTCCTGCCCCTACAGACATTCCTTGTTGGGTGCTCCCTGCTCCTCCAGGGTAAATCTTGAGCCAGTGCCTGTGGTTGCTGTTTGTCTGAGGGCTGCAGTGCTTGACCTACGTGTCACTGTGAAATCCATCTCCTTTTGGGCCATGCTTTGCTTGGAGCAGCCCTTGGAGCTGTGGTTCTGGTGATACTTCCGTGGGAGCAGTTTCATAGGAAAAATAACTTATTTTATACTCTTTTGGACTTGTTTGTTTGAGCATTAGTCCTCAGAGATGGCATTTGTAAAGGGGGGTTGGGTGCTAGAGCAGTTGTGTAGTGAAACTCTTACAAATGGCATGAAACTGATTTTATTTAACCTGAACTAAATTAAATACTTTTGGGGTGGGGTGGTTTTTTTTTGCCTTTTTATTGTGTTAAATTCATGGATTCAGATTGCCTTCCCCGTAGGTGCGTATTTGCTTCGGGAATAGGACATCAAACTGCTGCAGAGCTTCCAAAAGTTGATGTTTTGGGGTCATTCTTCCTTAACCTGCTTCTTATTCCAGATCACCCATCCATAGACCTTGCACATTTGCACTGGCTGGGGGACCTGTTGCCAAGCACAGAACGCTGTGTGCTGGGGAGGAGGTGGAGGGAGCTCAGGTTTGCTGTTCATTATGGTGCCTGCCACTTGCAAACCCTAAAAGCTGATGATGATGCTTTTTGGTGATGCTTTTTGGTGATGCTTTTTGGTGATGCTTTTTGGTGATGCTTTTTGGTGATGCTTTTTGGTGATGCAGGTGATCCTGGGAGCGCAAAGTTGTCTCTGGGGTAACGGAGAAGATTTGTATGCAAGAGAGGATTAGGGAGGTTCCGCTGTATCGGGTCTGCTGTCATTTGATGTCCTCGCCAAGAGCTTGGAGTAGGAGCTGGCTGGCGTGGTGGTGGAGTTTGGTGATGCCAATGTGATTGTTGCCGTTATTAAACGCTGTGGAGGGGTTTGAGGAAGTCCAGGTACTCGTGAACTCCATCGTCATTGGGTGACTCTGATGGCTGGGTGGATAATCTACCCCAGCAAAGAGAAACGGTGAGCGTGGAGGTTTCTTTACCTTCAAGGCTTAAGGGGGACTTGATCCGTACGGATCCCTCCCAACCCGAGGTGTTCCATGGGCCGCTTGAAGGTAAAGCCCCACTTTACAGCAGCTTTGGGGCAGCTTTTGGAAAGGATGCCAAATCTGTGGGATTTCCAGAGCGCCTCACGCGTGTCTGGAGCATCCCCCAAGCTGCTTGCTTCCTCCTGAATGGTGGTGAGAAAGGACGCAAAGGTCAGGACGATGGTGAGAGGTGTTGAGTGTGGTTGTGACATGAGAGCGTGGCCAAGAGCTGCTGAGCTTCAGGAGCCCTTCCAAGAGGGGCCATGAGACCATGAGAACTTACAGGTTGCTCTGCTTTCCCCCCTCCCCGAGAAGAGGGGCACTCAAAGGCATCTGGAGGCAGTTTGAGCTCAGTGCTTCCTGGCAGGAGCTGAGGTGATGTTTGCATGCAGGGGCCCTGTAAAGCATCCCCTGATGCTGCCTCTGGCAGGAAACCAGCCTCACTGAGCCAGGGCTCTGCTCTGGTGTGTCCCCTTGATCCCAACAGGGTTTGTACCGTGTGTGCTGTGCTAAGGCAGGTAGGAGACTGAGTATTTACCTTCCTGGGCTGGCCCACTTGGATGTAGCATTCAAACCCTGCTGTTGTGCAGGTTGTGCAGGCAATGCTTAACCTTTGAGTGCCTCAGTCACCTGGCAAAGGGGAGTATTCCAGGCTGCTGGCACGCAGTTCCATGCCTGGCATAAAAACCCAGGAGCTTCCAGGCCTGCAGACTCGCAAATGGGCTCTTGGTGGTGTTCTTTTTGGTAAGAAAAAGGCTAAAGAAGTTCCAATCCACTGAAGTTTCTAATGATACTCAAATAATCTTCATTTGATGGAGCGTGGGATGCAGTGACCTCATCTGTGGGCTTTCCTATGGAGTGTAGGAAAGGAATTGTGCTCGGAGGAGCTTCTTCAAACCAGGAAAACCATGAAAAGGAGTTGGTTATTTCATGGTTTAACTTGGGACTCCTGCATCTCTTTTAACTTCTAGGGTGTTTCTGACTCTGACCACCCTTGGGATGCTGGGGCATGGAGCTGCTGGGAGAGCGAGGGGGGGTGTTTGCCAGCTGAAACCAGTGTGTTTCCACACAGGGATGACACTAGTGGTGTCTGGGGGTTTTAGTTGTGATTTTCAGGTTTCTTTCAACCTTCCATCTGTTGGCTTAGATAAAGGAGCCCTAGTCCCTCAGTACACGTCCTGACATAGGACTGGGTGGGTTTGCACCAGAAACTCTCATGTTTTGCAGTATAAAGTGCACTTTTTCTTCAGACACACCTGTCTGATGAGTGTCTGATGTGCTGAAAGTGATGTTCTGCCTAACCTCCCAAGTTGAGGATCTTGTTCTTCATTGTAGTCATTGAAACCTGTGATCTCCTTCTGCTCACTCTCTTGGAAGACCAAGTAGAGAAGAAAATGCCTCCCGTAGACAGGAATTAAAGCTAGGAAATGAACCTATACACTGCTCTTGAATCAAACTCCGTGCTGCCTCAGTGCACGGTCAGGTTTTCTCTTGCACCAGCTTCTTAAATCACAAATGTTTACTTTGATGAAACAGGGAGTGCCTTGTCCTGTGCTGGGCTTGCTTTTGGCGAGCAGAGTGGTGATGATGGGGACACATCCACCCAAGGTGGACGGAGAGACCGGGAGACGCCGGTATCCCCTTCATCCGAGGATGCTCTACAGCAGCTGCGCTGACCTGGGGTTTCCTGACTCACCCTCAGACCTGACCAAGGAGCAAACCAGCTCTTTGCTGCTTGGTTGTCACCCTGGGCTGGGTTGGCTGCATCTGTGCAGGTTGTTCTGTCTCTTCTATAGGGTTCAGTGCTGCGCTCGGGCTGGGCTGTGCGCATCGCAGCATCACGCAGCCGCCGGGGCCCTCTGTTCATCAGTCCCAGTTGTCTGTCTGGTACCTCAGGTGGGGCCGATCTCCCTCTTGCTCGTCAGGATGCATTTGGAACCCGGTGGGGCTTCTGTTTTTCTCCGTGTGTTCTTGCAGTGCCTTGTAAAACCCAAACTCTCTCCTGTGGCAAAGGGCTGTGGACTAAAGAACCCTTCACATACTTGCAGCTTGCTGTGGCCAGACTGGACTTTGTAACTGAAGATTGAAACCCGTGGTTCAAAGGAAATAAAAAGAGTTCAACTCTGACTCCTGGTGCTCTGTGACAAGCGCTTCCAGATGCCTTTTGCAGGCTGACCAGCTTGGGGTTTGTAGCATCCCTGAAGTCCCTGCTG